ACCTGAGGCACCTGTATTAGTCTATTTTCACCATGCTAATAAAGACTTACCTGAAATGGGGTAATTTATACAGGAAAAGGGGGTTTAATGGACTTACAGTCCCATGTGGCTGGGGAGGCCTCACAATCATGGGGGAAGGCGAGGAGGAGCAAGTCACATCTTACATGGTGGGCAGCAGGCAGAGAAAGGTTGTGCAGGGAAACTCCCCTTACAGAACCATCAGATCTTGTGAGACTTATTCACTATCACTAGAACAGCATGGGAAAGACCCGCCCCCATGATTCAATGATCTCCCACTCAGACCCTCCCACAACACATGGGAATTCAAGATGACATTTGGGTGGGGACACAGTCAAGCCATATCAGCACCTATGGTGGGAATAGAATATGAGGCAAACTTCAACCTAGGAGACACAAAAGTCTTCCTCAGAGCTTTAATAAAATAGGGTGTCTAGGTCCCATTCAACTCCTTAGTATCTCTGGACCAAGCATGCTGAAAACTTTATCTTCTGTAGCTACCTTAGTCTGTAATGCTGCCAGTTAAAACTTCAAAGCTGGGGTAGTCCAGTTTATCGACATACCTAAGGATATAGCTATTTTCTATAGAATTTTATCTTTGGTTCTGCAGTGAATTGAGATGCAAAGACATATGGCAGTCTGTCTCAGCCAAATATTTTCATCTAGTCCCAGATGCATCTATCCAGCCAATCTGCTTTCAGTGAACACTCTGAATGTTTCAGAGGATTCACAGTAGTGATTTGCTTCACTTGAAAAGTGCAGGTCAAAGTGTTTGTCAAAAGGTGCAGTAAAGATGGATCCTAATGACGTAAGATGCATGTCAATTTATGCAGTTACTTTTTGGTGGTTTCACATGTATTACGTGTGTGCTTTGTATGTAAAACTCAAAAAATGTTCAGATGTTTTCAGCAAATAACTGTCAGTTAAATGCAAGATATTTTAATAAAATCATTAGTATAATACAGAAATATACCGTTCCAAGCACCGCTTTCTTCCCTTTTGCTTTTATGTTATATTATAGTATATGATGATAAAAGAGAGACCTGCAAGGTTTGCAAAGTATAATATGAGGATACACATGAATTTCCTGTTCTACTTTCAGATTAACTGAACACTGTGGGGTTTCCTAATAATGTTTATTGGAAAAACAATGAAGAACTCTGTATTATAATAGTTTATCTGCTATTAAGATCAAATAAAATATCTTAAGAATGTGTTAAGGTCAATTGTATTTACAGAAATGTGTTTTCAAAGCTTCCTCTTCTTATATTCCAATGGGAATCAAGAGGTGCGTTTAGTGTTTCCATGAGCTGTGTGATTAATGACGATAGCCAAATATGTTGGGGGAAATGATCATTGAAGGTTTTTCCATCAGTGTTTACTTAACATACAGTAGACAGGAAACAAACAGTCTGTTCAGCCAGACTATTCAAAGATCCCTCCTATTGCTTTTGTTTTTACTACAGCTGGAAAGGGAAAAAGTATGTCACATATATTCCTTCATCTTGCTTCTGAGTAATTTGTTTTGGTGCTGATATAAAGAGTAATTTAAAATATTTTGTATGAGTTTGAAAGTCTGTGAAATGCATAGGAGTAATTTACAATATAGATAATGAAGCTGTGATTTTTCCAATTATCCTGTCTTTATTCTGTAAAACATCCATTTTGACTTGTTTTATCTTCTCTAAAAATCATTTAGAAGTGGGATCAAAATCTAACTCAGTTTCATACTTTTCAGTCTTGATGAGCCATGTACTACCGAATTATGAACACATAATAGGATTTCCTCTATGCACGACCAGGTAGCCTTGTTTATTCATGACATAACCAGAGAGAAAGAATTAGGTTTAAAATGCCAACCAAAAGAAGCAACCAAATGGATATTCATGGATGCCAGGCCCTAAAGCTCACAAATGTTCTCATTAGAAAACCCCTCAGGTTTTCCCTGAGATCCTGTTTACTCTTTGCAAACACAATTAGAGCAAGCAAGTGATCTGTTTTCCAAGTTTGAGGTAGCAAATTCTAGGAGGCACAGAGATGGAGGTTTGTCAACATTTGACTGTAATAGCTGTCAGTGGTGACAGCAAGGGAGAGATACAAAATCATAAAATGCTGGTAAACAATGGGATAAAAAATCAAATCCCAGCTGTCTAGAGACCAAACCTTGTAAGTGCTAGAGTAAGGATATATGCTTGTCTCCTACCTGTCTGCTAAATTTACTGTTTCCTAATAATCTTACTAAAGGATGAGCTTGAATGTTCACTACAAAAACAAGAGTTTGACACATTCATCAGACTTCTCAAATTTCAACTTAAGTGGGAAATGGAGACTTCATCGTTTCTAAGTTTTGGAGTTCCTTTTCATTTGTTCTCTAGAGAAGGAAGGCAGGAACTAAAATAGGAAAGCAAATCTGAGGAAGTTGAGAAGTAGAATCCCATGCAGAAGGCTCCCCAGTGTTAGGCATTCCATTTACTTTCTGTTCTGTGCCAGGATCCCAGAAGCTAATTTAAAAGGGGAGGGAGGGTGCTAATGGTTATTCCAGAAAGTTCTGTTTTGTCCTATGTTATAAATATCTAAAAAATGGTAAAAAATAATATCAAGGAGGAAGAAGTAACACTTATTTAAAAGAAACCAAGAGCTGCTTTGAAATTCTGTTTTGAAGATTTTAATAAAGACAAATCCTTTGATGTTGTAGGTGTTTCTTTTTTCTGATTTACATTTTGGAAGACTGATATGCCTCTGGTTGACACCATTCCCTTAGTGTGTATGTTTTTAAAATACCATTTTTTATCTGGAATCGTTTCATCTATTCTCTGCATGATGTTTGCTACCATTTCTTATCTAGGTTGACATTCTAACACGGATCTTGCATGGGTTTTCAGCGGTTCCTACGTGACTCTTTGTGTTTGCATAGCTACGTCAGGGGTGTAACTTGCTAAGAGCTACTATAGCAAGTGCAAGGAAAACGCAGGTATCTGACATTGACCTAAGTGTTGTGCTAGGAGGTCTTATCTGGTTGTCATAAAGTTTTATTGCTTACCTGGATTATAAACTGCCTCATATATTTTTGGTAATTAAGCAGGATATAGAAATAAAGCAAGTAAAATTGCTTTGTGCAGCTTTGCCTAAAACCATAGGTCTTAGAGCCTGACACATTCTCCAGAAAAGCTGTCTGCTTTTGCAGGCAGGATATTTTCATTCCCATTTAAAATATAGGGTAACAAAAGCACTGAGACTTTTTAGAATTATGCTGGATCATACAACCAGCAAATCTACTGGAAAGAATTCCAGCCCAAGAGTCCTGGATTCTTCCTTGCACAGTAGTTTTTTCACTACTTAATTTTGCCTGGTCCGATGATGCTTGTTCCAGAAAGACTGTCAACAATTCATTCATCCACTCATTCAGTCAGTCAATAAACACATTTTGAGTACTATCCAATGGCTAGTAGGGACAACAGTATTACAAAAAGAGATATTTTCTACAGTGATGATGACAATACTGCTTAGATGTGCTTATTACACATTGTGTGGAGGGCAGGAGGGTGTCCACACTCAGCCCTTTATGTACATGAATTTTTTTTTAAGCCTACAGCAATTCAATAAAATGAACACAATGCTACATTTCTCTTGCTCTTGGGTTTCTCCCTGTGGAGTTTTGGCTACTTTGGTCTCTGTGGTCCTTTTGAGCTCTAACATTCTAGGAGTTCAAGGAAAGGTCTAGATGGCAGACATCATGGTAGTGTTTCTCTCTGGGTACTATGCACCAAAATGTCAGACAATAAGAGATCTTTTAAGTTTACTGTGAAACCAAATAATATCCTCTCTGTCTAGAAGAATTAGTAGCACCTTTCTGAGTTGAAAAGTTTAGGTAATTATGCCTGTGATTGGTAGTGGTAACCTTAAGTTAGTTATTAGAGTTCTAAGTAGTTGAATCATTGTATTATAAGCTGTATTAAATACATTTTGGTTTCTTAGAATGTTATTGTACCAAGGGGAACATAATGGCTATAATTAAATTTCTTCTCCCTTTTTGAATCCATATCTTGCCAGTTCTAAAACCTGTCCATTCATATCTTTTAGTAATAGTTGGGGAGAAGAAGGCTGTTCTTGTTCAGAAACTGAATTTCCAATACTTGTGGCACGCCTTCCCCTACTGACCTACCGAAATGAAAGATGGGGAGTAATGATTAAATCTCATTTTTTCCTCCTGGAGTAGCAGGATAAGCTGGGTCAGCAAGGCCAGTCCCTGCAGACAGCTTTAAAATGCCTTTGTGATTTGATCTCCTTGCCTTCCCATCCATTTCTATAAGTGCCCATCACTGTCATCCTTTAGACCCTGACAAGATTTCAAGGTGAGAACGGCGCAAATGAACAAAAGTACAGTGATGACTCCTGAGGGTCTTACTTATTAAATGGGTCAGGCAATGAACCAAGACTGGCTTGTAAGCTACAAGGGAGTTTCGCCCATTTACGTGAAGACGATCTCATGTATTATTTAACCCGTTCATATACATTGGTGTCTCTTTGCTGTCCAGCGTAATGCAAGTGAAATAAATATAAGCTTACAAGTTAATGAGGTCTGATTTTTATTTTCAAAATAATCTGACAGTCACTTGGTTTCATCCCTTTGGATTCTAGCTTGCTTTTTCAGAACAGCTAGAGAATGTTTATGAAGTGTGCATGTGGAGGGGGCGAGGGAAGGGAATAAAAATGCATTGCTTCAGGGCAGCACATCTGTTTTTAAAAACTCTGCAAGATCTGCCCATTAACCACTGTCACAACTCCTGGTGTTTCCTGCAATTGCATTCCAATCAGAGATGTTCGTACCAGCTCAAGATGTCACAAGTAAACAGATTTAAGCCTTGTAAGTTAGTTTCCTATTCTCGTGCCTCACAGAATTATTTTTTCTTCTCGAGCCGACAGCACGTGCATGTATGGTACACATAATGAGTGGTAACACATTTTCTTTCTTTTTCAAACAGATTGGCAGTATGGATTTGCTCAGGCCTTCCCTCACGCAGAGGAGGAGGTGGAAATCGATTCCCATGCATACAGCCACAGGTGGAAAAGAAACTTGGACTTTCTCAAGGCGGTAGACACGAACCGAGCAAGCGTCAGCCAAGACTCTCCTGAGCCCAGAAGCTTCACAGACCTGCTACTGGACGATGGGCAGGACAACAATACCCAGATTGAGGTAGATAAATAGTCTCGGTAACTGAAATGGATTGGTGAATATATTTCATGTAGGTGCCCAACTTTTATTACATAAGTTGTCCCTTCATCTCAGTCTAGAACTTGATGACAGTGAGCAGTGCGGCAACAATACTGCGCCTGCTCTCAAGGAATTCATTGTGTAAGAGCATCTTTATTTATTTATTTATTTTTGAGACGAAGTCTCACTCTGTCACACAGGCTGGAGTGCAGTGGCACGATCTCAGCTCACTGCAACCTCTGCTTCCTGGGTTCAAGCAATTCTTCTGCCTCAGCCTCCTAAGTAGCTGGGACTACAGGCACGTGCCACCACGCTCAGCTATTTTTTGTATTTTTAGTAGAGATGGCATTTCACCACGTTGGCCAGGCTGGTCTAGAACTCCTGACCTTAGGTGATCCACCCACGAAGGCCTCCCAAAGCTCTGGGATTACAGGCATGAGCCACCTCTCTTGGCCCTGTGTAAGAGCATCTAAGTGCCATAAGCAAATCATCCCAGTGCCATGTGATATGTACAATGAAAGTATGCAGGCTGTAGTGTGGCATGAAGGAGAGTGTGAGGAAACTGCTTGGGATTGAGAGTTGGGGTGCTGCCAAAGAGGCTTAGCCTAGAACTGGGCATTTAGGTGGGGCTTGACAGATTGAGAGGAGTTCACCTAATTGATGACCTGTTGATGGGAAGAGGGAGGGGCATGCCAGGCAGAGTCAATTTCCTCTGCAGCGGCTGAGGTGTAGAATGACATCTCCAGGACTGTCTCATAGGGTGACCGCTGGTTCCAGTTTGCTCGTGGCCAAGAGGTTTTCTGGAACGTAGGACGGCTTCCAGTGTTAAATACGGAAGAGTTCTGGACAAACTGGAATGATTGGTCTCTCTGACTGAGTTATTCTTTATTATGGTTGCAGCTATGAAGTGGAGGGAGGAGAATGGTCAGAGAACAGTTTGCAAAGTACAGACATGTGCAGAGGGTGCATTTTAGGCACATTTGAAGGTTGCTCGAAGGCCTCAAAGGTGGTGTTACATTTCTCAAGTTTCTGTAGTCCTTAGCACTGCAAATCACAAAATACGACCTTGTTTGTAAACTAGGTCCAACAGAAACAAGCAAGTAAACTGGTAAAAAGCGAAGACCACCCAACTGAGAACAAGCAGAGGTGATTTATCCAGTTTGCTCGGGCACGGCTTCGGCTGCCATCACTTGTTTTCAGCAGAGATGTAAAGGCAGGTTGGGGAGTGGGAAGGCTTTTAGTGAAAAATAGAAGGTTCAGATGCACTCTGATTGGAGGTTGTTGGCATGGCAAACCTGGAGGTGAGCTAATTAGAAACAGCATGTTTGTTTGTTTTGAGACTGAGTTTCGCTCTATCGCCCAGGCTGGAGTGCAGTGGCATGATCTCGGCTTACTGCAACCTCTGCCTCCTGGATTCAAGCCATTCTCCTACCTTAGCCTCCTGAGTAGCTGGGATTACAGGTGTGCACCACCACACCCAGCTAATTTTTGTATTTTTAGTACAGACAGGGTTTCACCATGTTGGCCAGGCTGGTCTTGAACTCCTGACCTCAAGTGATCCACCTGCCTCGCCCTCCTAAAGTGCTTGGATTAAAGGCGTGAGCCACCGCACCCGGCAAGAAACAGCATCTTATGTTACTAGTTTGAGGAACATCTTTGGCTTTTAATGGTCCTGAGAGAGATATGAAGACAAAGAAATAGAGAAGCTCTCAGTTACTAAGGAAGTCCTGACCTTTCTGGGCTCACCACTGCCAAGGCTGTGTTGTGGCTTCCTGAACTGGCTGCTGGAGAGGTTGCATCAGCGTTCTATTGTCACATATGGTCTGCTCATTGTCTGCTGGTACATTCTCTCTCAACCTGAAGTTTCAGTTCCTACTTTCTCTGAGCTGACAGGCTTATGATTTTTAAGAACCAGGCAGCATCCTTTTTACTGCACCACAGTCCCTGAAATACTCATTATTTAAGAAAAAGAACTCAGCTTCCTGAAGCAGATACTACCTAGTCCTGCAAATAGTATCAAGGCATCATTTTGTTCCCTCATATTGAGAGAAATCTTCAGAAGATCTGAAGCCTAGGCTGTGGGGATTCAGTATATTGGAAAAAGACAGCAATTTCTCGAACCCCACTCCATGGCATTAGCTATTATGCAGCTATGGTGTTCGCAGGCTGCCCCAGCCAGGTCCCTTACCAGGCAATGGTCGACGTGTCAGGAGCAGAAGTCTTCTTATGTCTCTAAGAGGATATTCTGACTCCTGCAGAGTGACCTGCTATTTTGGCAATGATGATGTCATAGCAACTTGGGGTAGGCAACATAATTGCCACTCTTTAGCTGGGGCGTAGTGTCAAGAAAGGAGAACTGAATAGAAGCAGAGGTGTATACTCTCTTCCCAGAACTAGGACTCGATGGATATTGAAAGGGAACAACACATCACTATTCGGCTAAAAGCCCAGACTTTACCATGACGAAATGCACAAAATCTGCACCAGTACCCCCTAAGTAGGTAAAGATTTTAAAATTTTTTTAAAAAAGAAAGAGGAGAACACAGATTCCAAGAACTCTGTGATCTCTCCTGTGGGGTGCTGAATTTTCTTAATCATTTATAAAATAAGGAATCTCTTTGATTGGGGATATATTAACACTCCTGCAAATACAATCCCAGGGGTTACTGTAGCCGTAATTTTGTTATTCAGCCTATTTTTCCACTTCCTACCTTAACAGAGGGAGACCATGAAGTGTCAGTAGTTTTGAATCAGTAAAAAGACGGCAGAAGGATGGCCCAGGGGACTGTTTGGTGGGTACGCACCCAGGGCTAAGATCTGCCAGCTGCTGTGTAGATGCTGTCTTGTTTGGTCCTCACAGCAGTCTCGAGAGATTTGTGTCCCCATGTTTTTTGGCAATTTCAATGATTCTTTTACATGAGGGCAATTTCAGATTTAGGTTTTAGTATTTTCCAAGGCTTCCCATTAATGAGTATTCAAACCCAGCTGGTATTCAAATGCAGGCTTTGCCAGGCTCACAAGGTTGATCCTTTAGACTTGACGTTGCTCTTTCTAGCAAAAGGAAAGACAAATGGCACTTGAATTATGTAGTGATTTTGAACAGTGGCAGCCCCTGGGTATCCATATGAGGGTAATTGTGGGGTTTCAGTCTGGCTGGAAAAAGACTTGTCTTAAAGCTAGAGTTGCATACTAAGAACACTGCCTTTATTTCAAGATTCACTCATTTTGATGGAGTTCTGGGGATTGATGGAGATTACTGGGATCTAAAGCTCCCCAAGTAACTCATTGGCACTGCCACTAGTTTTGGAAACAAAAATCTACCTCTGAAAGTTTGGAAAGTGTACTAGGCCATTTTTGCCTTCCTATAAAGAAATACCGAGACTGGGTCATTTATAAAGAGAAGAGGTTGATTTAACTCACGGTTCTGTAGGCCATACAGGAAGCATGGCTCCAGCATCTGCTTGGCCTCTGGTGTGGACTCAGGAAGGTTTCAACCATGGCAGGAGGCAAAGCAGGAGCAGGCATGTCACACGATGAGAGCAGGAACAAGAGAGAGCGAGGGGCACAGTGCTGCACATTTTCAAACAACCAGATCTCTCCTGAACTCACTCATTACCAAGGGGATGGCACTAAGCCATTCATGAGGGATCTGCCCTCATGATTCAGACACCTCCACCAGGCCCCACCTCCAACACTGGGATTACATTTCCAAATGAGATTTGGAAGGGGCAAATATACAAACCATATCAGAAAGGTTTACTTATCCTGGCCCTTGAAATGGTGTTTGTGGGCCAGGCACGGTGGCTCACACCTGTAATCCCAGCACTTTGGGAGGCCGAGGCAGGCGGATAGCCTGAGGTCAGGAGTTTGAGATCAGCCTGGCCAATATGGTGAAACCTCATCTCTACCAAAAGTACAAAAATTAGCCAGGTGTGCTGGCGAGCGCCTGTAATCCCAGCTACTCAGGAGGCTGAGGCATGAGAATTGCATGAGCCTGGGTGGTGAAGGTTGCGGTGAGCCGAGATCCCACCACTGCACTCCAACCTGGGCGACAGAGCGAGACTAAGTCTAAAAAAAAAAAAAAAAAAAAGGTAAAAAAGGTAATTGTGAACACGGTTGCATCTCTTTTGGAAATAGTTTTGCCTTGTTCAACAGAAATAAAAAAGAAAGGAACCAAATGGTTATAAAGTGAATACTCTGTGCCTGGCATTGTTACAAGATCTCACTTCTCGTTTTGGTTTATATTGCTAAACAAAAACAATAAGCTAGAAAAAGTTCTGTGTGCTTTTTTCCTTTAGATGCTTTTGAAGTCGGTTTCAGGGATCAGAATTATTTTGTCTTGCAGCCTTGGCTGCAGTAGTGGCTGTGAAAATTCTGTGTATCACAGTGAGACAAAAACCACCCAGAACGGTGTTCCTCAGATGTTCTCCTCATTTTTTTCATTGCCTAGACTTTATATTCTACTTTTACTTAAACAGAACAGCAACAACAACAAAAATCCCAAACCAAAACGAGACAATCGCATGTTTACTGTTTTGACACAAAGGCTGTTATTCTCTTCACTTGGTACTTGGTGACAGTATTTTTTCTGGCTCTTCACAAGAACAGATAATGGAAGGATTATAAAACTTGGTATCCCAGTTAAGTAATTCTTCCAGTTAAGGTTTTGTTGTTGTCATTGTTTTCATTTTCTAATATTCTTCCCATGAACATATACAATCTCTAGAAGCCAAGTGTATATCCTGTTGAATAAGCAGGAACCCAACAGATGGCAAATGCCACTATTGATCTGAATGTTGATTTCTGTGAGACTTTTCTTCTTCTATTTCCTCTGTTCATTCATATGGACATATAACCACTTAGCCAGATGAGAAGTAAAGTACCTTCTGCTGATGTGTAGGTATTAAAAATGAGGTGTCCTGAAACAGTCACTGGATGTGCCACTTTGTATAATTATTTTGGGAATATAAAGGTTTACAGGG